CCAGGGAGACATGCACACACACACACAAATAGACACATTCTGGGAGCCCCTCAATGTTCCATGCTTTGCTGAGTTCCGTCTTCCCCTCCCTTTCCCACATTGTCCCCTCTGCTTCTGGGAGTCTAAGGTCACTTGTGGGTCGATTGCCCCCTCCTGACATTAGGAATGGATAGAATGCACAAACACAAACTTTCGGAGCTCCGCGCGGATTTCTTGGGTCGGCGCTGGACCCCCCCCGCCCTGGTGCGCTCCGCGCGCCAGGGGCGGCCCCAGAGGCGTCGCCAGTGGGGCCTGGCGCAGATCCAAGCAACCCGCGCGGAACGCCGAGGGTTTTTGCTTGTGCAGTGCTCCTCTTATTCGCGTTATGATGCGTATCATTATTACGGTTTTCATAGTTGTCGTATCCTTTGTTTTTCATATTAGTAGTAGTTGCATTGTGATTATTATTATTATTAGTATTATTATTATTGTTTATATTATTATTATGATTAGTATTATTAATATTATTATTATTATTATTATTATTACTATTAGTATTGGTATTATTATTAGTACTGTTATTATTATTAATAAAATTAGTATTATTATTATTAATATTATTATTATTAATATATATATTAAATTAATATTAGTAGTGTTGTTATGATTACTAGTGTTATTATTATTAGTAGTAGTATTATTATTATTATGTGTTTCGTGCTTGCAGTCGTCTTAGTAGTAGTATAGTCTTGTTATGGTCATGAGTATGTTCATTACGATTATTACTATTGGTTTCATTCGTACGACTAACATTAGCACTACTACGATAATAGATATTACTATTCGCATTACGTTTCTTATGAGTCCTACTTAATATCCGTGTTATCAATTGCACGATTCATATTACTATTCAGTTATTTGTATTATTATTGATATTTCGACTCCTAATATTAATAGTTGTATTGCTACTAACAGTAGCAGCAGTAATAATAGTAACCGTAACGGTAGTAGTAATAATGTGTTCTCTTCTATGATAAGAATTACTAGCAGATTCTCCTCTGTAGTACTCTTATATTAACACTGGTACGTTCCATATTATTAGTACTAGTATTACAAGTATATGACCAAGCATACTTAGTCTTCTCATTTCTGGTATGATTAATATATAATTCTTCTTGGTATGAATAGTACGTGCCTTCTTACTTCTAATGTGGTATGATTAGCGTTAATTAATCATGTTAGTTGTATGATATGAGTATCGCTAACCTTCTTACTATCAATATTAATGTTCTGATTGATAATTCGCCGGCCCAACGGGCCCAGGGCGTGCTAAGATCTCCAGTAACTGGTTAACCATATTTCTAGCTCGCGCGCGCGAGGCCGCCCCTGTGGGTCACCGGACGAAATATACCCCGGCAAGGTCCCAGCAAAGTCCCGGCCAGGTCCCGGCCAGGTCCCAGCAGGCTCCCAAGAGCGCTGCAGGAGCGCTTCCAGTGGCCTCCAAGAGAGCTCAACATGATCCGAGACGGTCCAAGAGCGAGCCAAGACGCCAAAGATGGGCTCCAGACAGCCCAAAGCGCCTTCAAGACGCCCCACGAGGCCTCCAAGTCACTTCCCAAGAGGGCCCACAGAGGCAGAAATTATTGATTTTCTTTGGGTTTTTGAAGGTTTCTGGCGTTCTCGACTTTTCGGCTTACCGGCGCGTCTAGACGGCCCAAAAAGCTTCCAGGATCGCCCCAGCACGGCCCAAGAGGCCTCAAAGAGCGCCCAAAACGGCCACAGAGGGCCCCAAGACAGCCCCAGAGGCCTCCAAGATGGCTGAAGAGGCTCCCAAGACGGCTCCAAGAGCGGGCCCAGACTGGAGACCCAAACGGACATTTCGAGCTCTCGACCCCAAGAGGCGCCCAGGACCCCCAGAGATCCCCACGAGCCCCCCAGAAGGCCACAAGAGGCCTCCAAGAGGCCCCGAGGCCCCCAAGACTCCAAACAGGCCCCCAGGAAGCCCCAAGAGGCCCCCAAGAAGCCCCCAAGAGGCTCCCCCGAGACCTCAAAACTGCTACCCAGAGGCTCCCTCCGAAGAGACCCCAAGAAGCATCCATGAGGACTTTGACCCACAACCCATGTACGTCTCGAAACTCTGCTGGAGCTCTCTTGAGCCATCTTGGCGCTCTCTGGGGCAGTCGATCGGCTCTCGTCGACAGGGTGCGTGCCACATCTCCAAAGGTCTCCTCAAAGACCATCCTGCCTGCCCTACCGTTCCATGAGCGAAGCGATTAATTAATTTTACTAGTATCAGTGTTACTCGTATTATGAATAGTACTACTGGTAATAAGTAAGACATACTGTTATCACGTAGTAGTACTATTATTGGTAGCATTATTCATGATATAGGACTTACGAATATGAGTATGTTCAGTACTAGTACTACGATTAACAGAGCTAATAGTATTAAGCCTAGCCTTATTGGTCGTATATGATTGCATGACTTGTTCTTAATACTAATACTGGTAGGACTATTGTCAGTGTTGCCATTCGTGTCAATACATGCACCAATGTTGCACTACGATTTAAACATGATCGACCCACGAACCCGGAAAAGAATATAGAAATGTAACGCATGGCAACGTTTTCAAAGACACCTGATTGGGTGACGGGCAAGTGCAATGCTGATTGTATCGATCTTGATGTACCGTGCCGAAGGCTGCGCTGTGCTGCACCGTGCTGAATTGCGATATGCCATGCCGCGGTTGTGCTCTGTAGCGTCGTGGATCGAGTCCTCCTTTGCATCCGAGTCCTGACCGAACTGATCTGGATCTTAGGCTCGAGCTGCCTGAACACATAGTAGCTGCCCCAGAGCTAATTGACAGGGGGACATGCCAGGAGGACGCGCCGCGAAACGTCCCAAGGGACGCGCCAGGCGACGTGCCAGGGGACGTGCCATGGGGTCGCACCGTAGGACGTGCCAAGGGGACGCGCTACGGAACGTGCCAATGGATGTGCCACGGAATGTGCCAGGGGACGCGCCACGCGACGTGCCAGGGGGACTCGCCAAGGGACGCCCCACGGAACGTGCCAAGGAACGTGCCAGGTTGCAATGCTGATTGTATCGATCTTGATGTACCGTGCCGAAGTCTGTGCTGTGCTGCACCGTGCTGAATTGCGATATGCCATGCCGCGGTTGTGCTCTATAGCGTCGTGGATCGAGTCCTCCTTTGCATCCGAGTCCTGACCGAACTGATCTGGATCTTAAGCTTGAGCTGCCTGAACACGTAGTATCTGCCGCAGAGCTAATTAACAGGGGGACATGCCAGGAGGACGCGCCGCGGAACGTCTCAAGGGACGCGCCAAGCGACATGCCAGGGGACGTGCCATGGGGACGCACCGCGGGACGTGCCAAGGGGACGCGCTATGGAACGTGCTGGGACAAGCGTTTCGCTCGAGACATCCTGTCAAAATCCTCATTCTAGACATCCGCCTGAGCGACCTGGACACGTGAAAACAAATGTTTCGCTCAACACATCCTCAACACATTCTCATGCTAGACATCCGCCTGGGCGAACTGGACACGTGAAAACAAGTAGTTCGCTCGAGACATCCTCAACACATCTTCATGTGAGACGTCCGCCTGGGTGACCTGGGCACGTGAAAACAAGCGTTTCGCTCGAGACGTTTTCAACACCTCCTCATTCTAGACATCCGCCTTGGCGACCTGTACACGTGAAAGCAAACGTCTCGCTCGAGACATCCTCAACACATCTTCATGTTAGACATCCGCCTGGGCGACCTGGACACGTGAAAACAAGCGTATCTCTCGAGACATTCTCAACACATCCTCATGCTAGGCATCCGCCTGGGCAACCTGGACACGTGCAAACAAGCATCTCGATCGAGACTTCCTCAACACCTCCTCATTCTAGACATCCGCCTGGGCGACGAGGACGCGTGAAACCAAGCGTCTCGCTCGAGACATCCTCAACAAATGACATCTGCCTGGGCAACCTGGAGGCGTGAAACCAAGCGTCTCGCTCGAGACATCCTCAAGACCTGGGCACGTGAAACCAAGCATTTCACTTGAGAGATCCTCGAAATTCTGGTCCCCAGGAGAGGACAATCTATAACACAAAACAAGCGTTTCGCTCGAGACATCCTCAACAAATTCTGAAAAACAAGCGTTTCGCTCGAGACACCCTCAAATGTTAATTCGCCGGCCCTACGCGACCTCGTTATTTCTCGCAGAAGAAATTCGCCGGCCCTACAGCCGTCAGATCCGGGGGCAGACCTCCAAAAGAGAACCCTGGGCCCACGCCTTTTCCGGGAAAAGAATGGTATGGCGATGCGGTTATTAGTACCATTGTTGCTACTCGCCCGGCAGCTCCTCCCCCTCCTCCTGCTGCCTCCGAGGCAGGGCGCCGGGCTCCGCGGCCCCCCTGGACCTCTCGCCGCCGCGGGCGCTGCGCGCCCTGCGGGCGAGGCCCTGCTCGGTCTCCGCCATCCTCTGCTCGAGGTCGTGCAGCTGCGCCTCCAGCGCGCCGACGCTGGCCTTGGCGCGCACGGCGGCCACCCCACGCGCCGCGGCCTCCTCGCGGGCCGCGGCCTCTGCGCCTGACGCCTTCGGAGCTCCGGCCGGGAACGCGTCCTCCGCCTCGGCCGCCGCCGCCGCATTCGCCTGCGCCGCGGCCGACGCCTCCGTGGCTGCCGCTGTCTCCGCCTCCGCCGCGGACTTCTCCGCCTCTGCCCTGGCCTTCGCCTCCGTCGCGGCCTTCGCCTCCGCCTCCGCCCTGGCCCTCGAGTCTGTCGCAGCGATCGCCTCCGCCTCCGCCGCGGCCGTCGCCTCCGCCGCAGCCCTCGCCTCCGCATCTGCCGCGATTTTCTGCGCTTCCGCCCTGGCTTTCGCATCGGCAGCGGCCTTCGCTTCTGCCTCCGCCTCGGCCGTCGCCTCCAGTGCAGCCTTCGCCTCCGCCCGCACTGCGGCCGTCGCCTCCGCCGCCTCCGCCTCAATCTTGGCCTTTTCCGCCTCTGCCCTGATCTTGGCCTTCGTCGCGGCCTTTGCTTCTGCCTCCGCCGCGGCCTCCGCTTCCAAGGCAGACTTCGCCTCCGCCTTCGCCGCGGCAGTGGCCTCCTCCGCAGCCTTCGCCTCCGCCTGCGCCGCGGCCGTCGCCTCCGCCGCACCGGCCTCAGCGGAAGCCTTCTCCGCCTCTGCCCTGACCTTCGCATCCGTCGCGGCCTTGGCCTCTGCTTCCGCTTCGGTCGTCGCCTCCAATGCAGCCTTCGCCTCCGCCTGCGCTGCGGCCGTCGCCTCCGCCGCCTCCGCCTCAATCTTGGCCTTTTCCGCCTCTGCTCTGACCTTCGCCTCCGTCGCGGCCTTCGCTTCTGCCTCCGCCTCGGTCGTCGCCTCCAGTGCAGCCTTCGCCTCCGCCCGCACTGCGGCCATCGCCTCAGCCGCCTCCGCCTCGATCTTGGCCTTTTCCGCCTCTGCTCTAATCTTGGCCTTCTTCGCGGCATTCGCTTCTGCCTCCGCCTCGGTCGTCGCCTCCAGTGCAGCCTTCGCCTCCGCCCGCACTGCGGCCACCGCCTCCGCTGCCTCCGCCTCAATCTTGGCCTTTTCCGCCTCTGCTCTAATCTTGACCTTCGTCGCGGCCTTCGCTTCTGCCTCCGCCGCGGCCTCCGCTTCCAGTGCAGACTTCGCCTCCGCCTCCGCCGCGGCAGTGGCCTCCTCCGCAGCCTTCGCCTCCGCCTGCGCTGCAGCCGTCGCCTCCGTCGCGGCCTTCGCTTCCGCCTCAGCCGAAGCCTTCTTCGCCTCGGCCGTGGCCTTCGCCTCCGTCGCACGTTTCGCCTCCGCCTCCGCTGCAGCCATCGCCTCCAGTGCGGACTCCGCCTCTGCTTGCGCCGCGGCCACCGCCTCCGTCGTGGCCCTTGCCTGCGCTGTCACGATGGCCTTCTCCGCCTCTGCTCTGGCCTTCGCCTCCATCGCGGCCTTCGCCTCAGCCTCTGCTTTGGCCTTGGCCTTCATGGCGGCCTTCGCTTCCAACTCCGCCGCAGCCGTCGACTTCACCGCGGACATCATCTCCTTCTGCGCCGCGGCAGTGGCCTCGACCGCGAACTTCGCGTCTGCCTGCGCCGCGGCCTTCGCCTCCGCCGCAGACTTCACCTCCGCCTCCGCCTCGGCCTTCTCCGCCTCCGCCGTGGCCTTCGCCTCCGTCACGGCCTGCGCCGCCGCCTGCGCCGCGGCTGTCGCCTCCGCCGCAGCCTTGACGAGGATGCGATTGTCCCCCCTCTCGATATGTTACCCTCTGTCGGCTCCGATGCTCAAGCGTGGTTGCCCCCTCGATCATTGTTTGTCCTGGAAGCTTCGCGTCAACTCTGGACCCCCGCTTACAATGGACACTCGTTTCTCGAGCGGGGGTGCTGGGAGTGTGTCGGGGACCTACTGACCCGGGTCAATCCAGACCCGGGTCAGTCAGGCTTTGAAGAATCCTGTGCGACATGCAGGATCCTGCAGGATTCTGCACTCAAGCCCGAGTCAATGCAACCATGGCTCTGCAGGATCCTGCAAAATCCGGCGCTCTGACTGACTCCCGTTTGCTTTGACCCCCGTCTGTTGAGCCCCGAGGGGTGTGGGGCTGGGGGGATGCCGGGCGCCCTGCTGTACGCTGTAGCTTTTGCTTTCAAACGTCAAAAATTTAGGTCGGGCATGTCCTCCTACTGGCGGATTTGGCAAGAAAAGTTCATCAACAAATTACATAAATACTCAAAGAGCACGAAAAATAGTCCCCTGACTATGTTTGTAACCATTCTTGAATATTTCCCTGTGGAGAGACATGCCCAACTTAATGTCAAGCGGATCGGATCTCCAAATATCAAAGAGAGAGCGGAGGGGAATCAAGACGGGTAGGCGGGCTGCCAGCGGGCACGAATGAAGTGGATCCTTCCCGCTCCGTGGAGAGGGGGCGGTGACTTCGAGCGGGTAGTCGGAACCCCGCTTTCTCGCCATCGCTCAGACGTCCATTCCCCGTGCATTCGTCGATCTCGTGAGTTTAGGTTCTCGTATGATGATCCAATCTGCTCTTCGATGGCACTCGCCGGGAAAAATGTACACGTCCGAGCGATGCAAAGCTGTTCGAATAAAGCAACATCGCAGATTAAACTGCGACCAGTCCTCGAGAAGAATGAATCCGAGCGGTGGTCAGAAACTTCGCCAAGGCTTTTTGTTGATCAGCGGCCGCGAGAGAGTCAGACGGCGGTCTAGCACTGGCAGGGCGCGCCAGGCACAACTTGGACCTCGACAGAAGGGGGGGGGGAGGGGGAGGGGGGGGGGGAATCCGGGCAGGTCGTAGGAAGCCATTTCCAACAACATGTAAATGGGACCTCAGTCCAGAAAGTCCCAGGCAGCACTTTTACAGTGAATCCCTGGCTCTCTACGACGGAAGGGTAAGATGGAGAGGGCGATCAGTGCCCCAATAAAAAAAACACAACTAATGTGGATACCCGGCTCTCCTCGAGACAAGGCTTGAATTCAAGCCGGCGGTCTGAAACCGAAGAAAATAATTATCCCCTAACTCTTACAAAGGGTGGAAAAGAGTGCGAGTCGGCAACGGAGGCCTCATCAGAACACAAGTAACGTTGACCTCAAGCTCTCACATAGGAAGGGGTTCTAGCGTCTATGCGGAACCACTGACAATAACAAGGGAATGCCGGCATTCCGAGCAACCGTTCGACGGGCTTGCTTCCCTGGCGCTCCCCGCAAGTGGCACGCCAAGTTTCAAACGCCCCCTCGGAGGAGGGGGGGAGAGGGGGCGCACCGCATCGTACCGCCCTGGCCCCCAGAACGACACAAAAAAACATCGCAATGCTAGATGATGTGGGCGAGGCCCAGGCAGGAGAGCCCAGAATCGAATCGATAAGTCGGATCGGCGATCGAACTGAATCGGATCGGCGGAAATCGGCAGCCGAGTCGGGAGAAGTCGATTCGGCAGACATCGGCAGGTTAGTAGGCCTCCATTGAGGAATCGGGTCCAGCATCGGAATCCGATGTCGAATCGAATCGGAATCGGAGGCCATCGAAATCGAAATCGAATCGAATCGGAAGAATCGAAATGAGCCCTGCCCAGGCGCCTGAAAACGCCGCAGCCTCGGAAACCGTATGGTCTACACGCCACCTCGATCTGTGTTACAACCTTCACAGCCACGGGCAGGCGGACCGTGTAATGGGCGGGTCGGGCGAGCGAGGCATAGTGTGTTGAAGCGACCTTCGTAAAGTGTGAACAAGCCTCCAGCGAATGCAGTAAGGTTCCTGCGCAAATTGCGAGGTCGTTTCATGCGAGAGCGCGATGCCTTGACGTCGACAGAGCAGCTCCTGAGTAATTCCTGAAGTTCCCAGGCGAGAGCACGATCCAGGGGCCAAGGGCACAGATTGAGCCGAAAAGCTTCCCCTAATAAAAAACCAAAATAGCAGCCCATAGGGGGCAGTGCAATTGAAGAAGCACGAACCGAGACGTACTCAACCCCGTCTCCCCGCGATGCGAATATTTGCAAGAACGCTCCGTGCACAAGAATACATCGCCAAATATGCATGATTTGTGTGGCCCTCATCTTCGCCAAACCTTCCAGGAGCCCACGACAGTGGCGACAATTGCCAGGTTCGCAGCCTCCCAGGGAGCCGCGAAGTCTCGCCTGGGTGCGCGTGGCCCCCGACTCCGCTGGACCCCCCAGGAGCCCACGAAAGTGCTGACACTTACTCGGGTCGCAGCCAACCAAGGAGCAGCGAGAACTCGTATAGGTGCGCGTGGCCCCCGATTCCGCTGGACCTCGGTTGCGCAATCCGCGGCCTCCCAGAGAGCAACGGGGTCTCGGCTGGATCCACGTGACCCCCGACTCCGCTGGACCCCAAAAACACCAACGGAAGTGGCGACACTTGCGCACTTCGCAGCCACCCAGGGAGCAGCAAGGTCTCGTCTGGGTGCGCGTGACCCCCGACTCCGCTGCCCCTCCCAGGAGCCCACGAAAGTTTCGACTTTTGCGCAGTTCGTAGCCACCCAGGGAGCAGCAAGGTCATGTCTGGATGTGCGTGGCCCCCGACTCCGCTGGACCTCCCAGGAACCCACGCAAGTGGCGACAACACCAAGAAGAAGAAGAATAAGAAGAAGAAGAACAACAACGACAACAACGACAACAACAACAAATACTACTACTACTACTACTACTACTACTACTACTACTACTACTACTACTACTTCAACTACTACTACTACTACTACTACTACTACTACTACTACTACTACTACTACTACTACTACTACTACTACTACTACTACTACTACTACTACTACTACTACTACTACTACTACTACTACTACTGCTACTCCTACTACTAATACTACTACTACTACTACTACTACTACTACTACTACTACTACTACTACTACTACTACTACTACTACTACTACTACTACTACTACTACCCTACTACTACTACTACTACTACTACTACTACTACTACTACTACTACTACTACTACTACTACTACTACTACTACTACTACTGACTACTACCACCAAAACTACGACGACTACTACTACTACTACTACTACTACTACTACTACTACTACTTACTACTAACTACTACTACACTACGTACTACTACACTACACTACTACTACTACTACGACTATTACTACTAGTACTACTACGACGACTACGACTATACGCTACTAGGAATACGACTAACTACTACACTACTACTACTACGACTACTACTCTACATTACTACTACTACTACTACGAACTGCTGACTGACTACGACTACTACTAATACTACTACTACTACCACTACTACTAACTACCACTACTCTAACTACTACTACTTACTACTTATACTATACGATACTACTACTACTACTACTACTACTACTACTACTACTTACTACTTACTACTTACTACTTACTACTACTACTACTACTACTACTACTACTACTACTACTACTACTACTACTACTACTACTACTACTACTACTACTACTACTA